GGCAGGAGCGGGGGGGAGGGGGGGCATTTGTGAGCCTCCAGGTTCTCAGGGCTAAACTCAGGATCGGAAGCCTCCTCTGGGCTGGACACAGGAACCGGAGCCCTCTCCAGGCGGGACGTGGGAACCGCAGCCCACTCAGGGCTGGCCGTGGGAACAGAGGTAACAGAGGGCTCCGAAGAAGGAGGGAGTAGAGGGAGCAGGTCAGCCTCCCAGTCAATTAAATCCTTTTCCGCCTCTCCTCTATCCAGGTCCATCATAAGCTCACCCTCAGGGGAGATGGTGGGCTGGGCTCTGGGTCGAGAGTGGAACTGGCGAGATTCTCCTCGGAACAGACGGTTAACGGGGATCCGTTTCTCACCAGTATCCACTCTACAAAGGCAGCAAAATCCGTTCGAGGGCCATCTTTGGACGACGGCACTCTGCACGTGGGATTCAGGCTGGCGTCATAGAACGCGCAGAGCATGTCGTCTGGGTAGGTGGTGAGATGGGCGATGGCCAGAAGCAGTCTGGTATGGCCCTCGAGCGATCTCTCCCCCTGCTCCAGCAGAAAGTCTACTAATAATCTAACGTGAGTTAGTAGACATGTAGGTGCAACGTTACTTATTGTCAACAGAATGTTCAAAAGGCACCATCAAAATAAAGCGTTACCAAATATTTATGTTTAGCTAATTAATGCAATTTATTTACAATTTGTTGGCCGAAACGATAGTTTGATAATGCATGTAACCTTTGCAGTTTCGCTGTTTCTTGCATTGTGTTGTCCAGTCCACTTGTCCTCAAGATACTAGATAATTTCTTGACGGCGATCAGTGATGTTTTTTTTTTATGCATGTGACCACAAAACCAGTCATAAGGGTCAATTTTTTTGAAACTGAGATTTATACATAAGCTAGCTTATAATAAATAAGCTTTCCATTGATGTATGGTTTGTTAGGATAGGACAATATGTGGCTGAGATGCAACTATTAGAAAATCTGGAATCTGAGGGTGCAAAAAAATCTAAATATTGAGAAAATCATCTTTAAAGTTGTCCAAATGAAGTTCTTAGCAATGCATATTACTAATCAAAAATTAAGTTCTGATATATTTACGGTGAGAAATTAACAAAATATCTTCATGGAACATGATCTTTACTTAATATCCTAATGATTTTTGGCATAAAAGAAAAATCGATCATTTTGATCCATACAATGTATTTTTGGCTATTGCTACAAATATACCCCAGCGACTTATGACTGCTTTTGTGCTCCAGGGTCACATATTTCAGTGTATTGAGACTTTAAGTATCTGCACTTTTATTTCAGTAAGCATATGGTAGAAGTACATATGAGCATGTTGAGTTTTATGGGGTGATTATAAACAGAATAGTGTGTTTCACCTTGAATAAGTGGTAAAGGTTTCCACCATGCTCTGTGAGGAACTGGCTTTCTGTATGGTAGCGCAGGATAGCAGAAGACGTCCAGCTCTTCAGCTGCTCATTATTGGGAATGTGCCACACTGACACGTCTTGTGCAGAGATGTCATAGTACCCAGGATTCTGTGGGATATAACAATATTGGACCATCAGATTGGGGTCCTCTCAGTGGTTAGCTGAGGTTTTGTGTGGTAATGTACCTTGTAGTCGTCACTAGTAGAGGCCTCAGCGGTGCCAAACGTAACAGTGTTGGCCCATGTTCCGTCTCCTTCAGGCAGGTTTTGGTCATTTCCCTGCTGGCTTGACCAGCGATCACCAAGAGAACACTTCCCATTGATGTTGTTCTCATGGACACTGGCCACCAGAGTCCAGCCACCGCCGGCTGTGGTCATGTCACAGAAAGTCTGGTAGTATGTACCGCTCTCTGTTGTCAGGATGTACATGCCATCTGAGGAGAAACAGACCCCAGATTTCATTTGAACTAGTATTAGAATAACTCTTATTAGACTAACTGAAAACTTGCTAATTTCGGACATATTTTACAATAATATCTTCATACAAAAAATAAGTAATCAAATAACAAATGAAAGTATGAGAAAATCAATTCATTCATTGAAAACACTTTATGTATGTATGTATTTATTTACTTTTGGTAAAAAAAAAAAGTTTTCAACATTGATAATAAGAAGAAATGTTTCTTGAGCCAATTAGAATTTATTCCACATAATCAATTAATGATACAATTAATGGAGTGATAATGCTGAAAATTCAGCTTTGCATCACAGGAATAAATTACATTTTAAAATATATTCAAACAACAAATATATTCAAAATAAAATCACTGCTGTATTTAACACTTCCACAGTGCTTACCCTGCGAGGCGCCGTGTTTCTCTTTGATATACAAGCAGCTGCGAGCGATGGTCCTCAACCTAGCATGATACTTGCCTAATTCTGGGTTTATGTAGGTGCCGTTTATGATAATTGGCTTTGGGGTGACAGCTCCCATAACACCCAGCACTGCAGACAACATTGAAGAGATCAACTGAAACAAGTGCCTCTCAGAAATTGCTATTAGATTTCACAAATAATTACAAAGAATTGGCACAAGTAACACATTGAATCAAATGTGAAATTTTGAAGTAGACAGACTGAAATTGTATTTTCTTGTAAAAATGTACTCCAATAACTCCAAACTTTGACATTTAGAAGCTAATCAGCTAATCATGAATGTTTAAAATTAGATTAAATTATATGCAGTTCCACATTTCAGAAAAAAACTAACAAACACCAATATTCATAATCACAGTCCACTTACTTGTGTGCCTTAACTGCAAAAGACACATGAGGAAGAAAACGAAGCGCAGCATGGCTCTGAGTTTTCAACTGTTCGTTGATGATGTCTGATGAAGATTTCTCTCTTCTGTCTAGCCTGACAGTGTGTGCAGCTTTTATCTCTCATCCGAGCTTATATCTGGAGTAAAACTGACTTATTGTGCAACATTGTGTCAGTGTGTAATTATTAAACATGCAGTTATCCCAGGGCTGGACTTGAAATCAGGGAAATGCCCATTACTGAAACTCCAATACATCATCATAGTCTGTTTACTTTTTCAGCAACTTATCAGCGATGTTATGGAACATTACATCCATATTTATGTTCTCGGCATTTGCTTTTGCCACAACAAATTACAGGAATGTGCTTGTATTTGTGAAAGTGATGAATGCAGTGGATTGTGTGTAGCAGGGCTTTGAGCCATTGGCCTAAACCAGAGTTTTGAAATAGTTTCTGATAGCCTTTAGCTGAGAAACCATGAAATTATGTTCTTGTGACTTTATAACTGTTTTTTAACTGATTTTATTTTTTCAAAAAGTCAAAAAAAAAATTTAGTACAAAAAAAACATCACTGAACCAAACTAAATACATTCATACCAAGAAAACAAATTGTTATGGGTTAAATCAGGTAAAAAATAGCTCTTTAACAGTAACAGTTAGCACTTTCTTATACTGTGAATGTTTCGTTTTCATGCCAGCTGTTGCCTTTGTCTTTTATTTCTTTTTTTTATTTTGCTTTTCACCACTTGCACATTTACAATGTGCACAATGATAATTTTTTTATTAGAAACAATTAAAGCACCTCCTTCCTCCATGTCCAAAGTGACATTCGCTTGCACAAGACTGTGCCATAAATGTGCGCCAAGTAAACCAAACCAAGGTCAATGTCCGCTGAAATGTTACTGTCTGTCCGTCTGTTTCAGTATGTTTTATTTTAGGCATTTCCCAATTGCTGATAATGTCAATCATGTGCTGAATTCCCCAAAACAGTGTCTGACTGTTCCTGTAACACATCACAGACAATATTAATAGTTGGCCAATGCAGTTTGTGAAATTTTTGGAAATTATTAAAAATTCGCTTGTTTTCAGTATAACTGTAACAAACCTATTTTTATTATTATTTTTCTAACTAGCCTGCTTTTATCACATACAATTATTATTACTATTATTATTATTCGCTGTGTAAAAATTATTACTAATCATTTGACACTAATTAAAGTACTGTAACTACTGTATTCACAGTACTGATCAGTGGTGGATAAAGTACCTGAAAGCCATACTCAAGTAAAAGTACAGATATCTTAGCAGAAAATGACTTTGGTAGAAGTTGAAGTCACCGTTTAGAATATTACTGGAGTAAAAGTCTTAAAGTATGACATATTTATTGTACTTAAGTACGAAAAGTATTTTTTAAATCTTATATGTACTCGTGTAACAGGAATTATATAACTACATTTTGTAACAACAATTTGTATAAGAGTAATTGGAACCATTTGATCCAGGGGATGCACATGGGTAGGTTTAGGGGTGGAAATTGGATCCAGGGAGTGGAGATGGGTAGGTTTAGGGATATGTAAAGTGGGAAGAGTTGGATCTCAAGTTGGTGGAGTTGGTGTATCACTGTAATACCAGTGTACTTAAATGGTAACTCCTCAGGAACTGTCCACTTAATATAAAGTGTAACATTCTGGACACCAACCACAATTTATATGTAAAGCC